TTAGAATATTGTCGAATTATTTTCCTCCTGTTCAGTCAATTTTACAGAGTCTTACAGAAGGTCAACAACCAGTTAGTGACTGAATACTCACTTTTCGATGACCTTGATGACTAAAAGAGATTTTGCAGGTTTGGGGCCTATCTTAGGAGGAAAACATTAGTTACATGGCAGTTACATACTACCTAATGAAAATGTTACAAGGATGCTAGTACTTGAAGATAAAAACTATAAATAAATAACGTTTGATCCACTGATTTTTTTCTCTCTGTGCAAAAATATGTTTATCTCAAATTTACCAAATTGTTGAATAACGCGTTATTGCATTTTCAACTCGTAAAGTCAGATATATTTGGTCACCATCATCCTATCTGAGATACGCACTAGAAGTAGCAGCAGAGAAAAAAGAATGAACCAAAATTACATAACAACGTCCTTTGAAACATTATCTTGCAAAATTTATACAGAAGTGAATTTCCATCATCGAATAATTTGAGTGTGAATATATTTTGCAACTTCTCTCTAATCTTCCCAGAAGATCTTTACCATGACAGTGACCATAAAAAAATTAACGAGTGCCCTGACAGTGTTCACATATTTAACAGGAGTCGGATTCAGTGACCTCTGTGCAAATTCGGGCCGTGGCTCATTGTCATTGCGGATTGACCAGCCGAACCGCTCGCAAACGAGCAGTGGTTTGGAGGCCGCACACCCCTATCAAGGATCCGCAGTTTCCTTTTTCCTGCTCTCGCACACCAGGATAGTAATTACAAAACGGGCCACGGCCTGCACGTGACCTTTCATATCCTCCAGTCTCTCTCTCTCTCTCTCTCTCTCTCTCTCTCTCTCTCTCTTTTCCCACATAAGTGCCAGACTCATCATCCTACGCAAGACTAGCTGAGCTTGAGAAAAAAATTATCCTTCAGCACATGAAGCGTCAAGAAGAGAGTCAGTAACTGTTGACTTCAGGTGAAGGTGAAGCACCGTTGTCAACTTCTGGAAGGTCTTTCGAAGGAATAGTGGACAAATAACAGCAGGTCAAATCATTTGGGCGGTCCAAAATAAGCCAAAGAACGTAAACAGTCGCATTTTAGGTGAATCGTGAATGAGGAATTTTGTTGCGTTTTTCATCTTTGTACAAACCCTTTTTTTTAATATTGTCTCCTCTGCAGTCAAAGCAACTCCACAAGAGTCAATATGGCTGTTGAATCCAAAAGAAAACAATATTATTTTTTTAAAGTAATATCTCTCAAAATGCGCGTAGTATTTACATAAGGATACGACCTCCTTTCTTAGACCATATTCGCTCAAAAAGTCAAACATTTCGTCTTTGTGCTTTTCTTTCATCGAAACCGAAAGAGAAAGGATGAAAATATAAAAAAGTACCTGTATCACTATGTGGTGAACAGAAAAAATACTAAAAGTAGCACACACAGCACTGAATAATTGTATTATTAAAAACGTACGACACAGTTGATATATTAAAAACTGTGAGATAAAAGAGAAGAAAAATGAGACTATATTATCAAAGAATTTAATAGAATATTTTTTAATAATTTTGTCGTGAGACACTGGGTTCGCATGCAGTGATAAAAGCTGCACAAAGGAAACAGATTCATTATGGTAGCACGCTTTGACTTGTTCCCAAGGAAAAGAAAGCCTCGTGAAAGCTACCCTAGGGGTTAATGAATTGCTACAGAGTGTGACTAGATCTCAAACACGAAGTTGCAGCATACTATTGAATCGCGAGACATTTGAAAGTATTTTTAGGTACTGCTCTGGCATTCGTCTGCTGTTGATTTGAGAAACCACGGCAAACTACCGATCAGATCAGCGAATGAATTTGACGTAGCTGACAAGCTAGAGTCGGATATTCTTCCACTGTCGGGAGCCGACCCTAGGTCCTCCCGGACAGAGGCACTGCAGTGACATCAGATCACCTGTGGCATCTCTCCCGGTGCAAAATTTGTTAAGAGGGGGAATTTGATACATTAGATAATAGGAAGAGAGTAGTTGTGGGGAGCTCCGTTGAACATCAGAATTATACTGGGCTGATATTAATGACTTTGAATGAATATTTATCAGCTAAGATGAGAGGTGTACAGAACGCGTTATGCTTGCCGGGTATCGGAAGAAGATATGGAAAGTGAGACGATTACACTGGGGAACAAGATTTTTACGTCCAGGAAGGTAGAGTGACCAACGAAGCCAATTTTATACGTAGATTACGAAAATCATAATAAAAACATCTTTTCACGTCATGTTTTTTTAATATACCGTATCTTTATACCGTATCACAACGTATTTTGCTATTAATTCAAATATATTCAAATTGCACCTGTAGGATATGTAGAATCATACGCATTAAATTTATTTACAAATCAAATATTTATATTCATATATGCCCCTTTCATGAGATATCAACAAAATTAAGTTTTTCTGTATTTTGTACGTTCTGTATACGAAGATTGCCATCTTCATTCTCACGTCCGGTTGTCGAGCTCAACTACGAGTAGGCCTTAATAGATGTTTTGAAAACACGTCACGTGCACCCTCATCTTTCCTACTGCACGGCAATGAAAGGAATCATAATTTTAGCCCCTTACCTTAATTTCGGGGTGGCAGATTGTGAGGCAGTCGGTGTCATGTGGAACTTCTCAGAGCGCATGAAGTTCGGGTCTGGTTCGCGTGTGCCTCAAATACATTAATACATTTCAGTTCTGTGGTTGTTATAATGTGATATTCGTCACGTCATTTTTGAATTTAATCGGTTCGATAAAATTCAAATCGTCTTTTCAAATCTAAAGTTTGCGAATCCACCCGATAACCTATGTTACGTTTCTGGAAGATTTACACCCAAACTTTAAAGGGGAAAAAATGAAATTACAAAACTAGCGTATTCTTTGTACTTGGGCTGTCGTGTATTTGTGATCAGGACAAACAATGGGCTGCTCAGCAGTGTTGTGTCACCTGTACAAGGAATCTTAGGTTGTGGTTGTACAGAAAACTCAAATCATTGTCATTCGCTCAGCCAATGTGGTGGAGAATACCAACAAACTATTTTAATGTCTGCATATTATTGCATGAATAGGTATTCCATTTTTAACTTGTTCTTACCTCTTATGAAGAATGGTAATAAACTTTTGCAGTAATATAATCGGAGTGCTGACAATGTGGAAATTAGTGTAGGATTTTCCCCTTAGTATTATTTATGGGAGAATTTGGGTGTTGGTGAAAACCGAAGTTGAAATAGTATTACGCCCGAGTCAGATTAAAAGGTAACACTCAGGTTTTAAGAGGCAGCCTGTGCCTCACCCAGAGTACTATTACAGTGTTTTTACGCTTCATTAATTGAGTAGAGTCGCGGTAATCCAAGATTTCGTGCAAACCGACGTGACCTGAGTGAACTAATAAGCGGCTATAATCAGAAGCCAGCTGTTGACGGCTTCACAACACTGCGTAGAAAGTCACGTGAGCGGCGGTCGGTGTCAGTCTGTCTGCTACATTGTTGTGATCGGTTGGCGTTTAGGTATGTATGTATGTTAGTATCTCTAATTTTAAAAGTATCCGCACATAAAATGTGTCTTCTTTATACATCATAATTGAAAATTGGATTATTTTCGTTTTCTTCCATGTAATTCGTGTTTGTTTTTTGTAATACGAGGTACTGTCACTCCAATTACCAGGCATTATTGCAACTCTACTGCACTTGAATGCGTTCCGGTCGTGTGCATGATTCGCAACACGAATGAGAACTAGTAGTTCCCGGAGGGAAAACTGCAACCCCAAACAGACGCAAGAAGCAGCTTCCTTGCCGCCCCCACGTCGGGAGGAATGCGAGTGTGGCGGGGCGGGATTGGGGAGAGGGAGGGACTGCGCGACGTGACGCACTACTCACGTGAGACGCGGGGGGGGCGGAGGGGGCGCGGCCAGCGGCCTTCGCACCGGCGTCCTTGTCACCTGCCCGGCGAGGCGACCCCGCCGCAGCGGCGGCCCGCGGGGGCGAGGCCGCTCCCGCCCCGCGCACGCGCGGACACGCACGCACGCGCTCGAGCGCGAACGCACCGCCCGATGACACGGCGCGTGACAGACAGACAGCTTGTTCTACTCGCGCCTCGCCGAGCACGGTCGGTGGGACCTGACAAGCGACAAATTGGTCGCCCCGGGGGCGGCGGAGGCAGCGGCGGCAACTGCACTAAACGGAACTAGAGTTGGGGGTGCAAATCTCGCGGAAGGCACGGGAGATGTTATACACCTGGGGCGCCTAAGACAAACCACTACGCATTACGAGATTCCGTCGCATCATCTGTGAATTCTTAATTGCCCATAAGAATCGGGTTTCTGAAACTTCGTTTCTGAAAGATAGGAGTGTACTCTCGAAAAAGATGTTTATGATAAATAGACATCCTCATGATCAGAAGAGCTGTAGTAACGCATCGATTCACGAATAAGCTATTTTCTAACTTTCTACTACTCACAAAAGAAATCGAAACATCCCTGAATAGGACATCAAGGACCACGACAAAAACGGAAGCAAGCAGATGCCGTTTTAGTTTCAATTGATTTTTTTTTGTTATTGAAGGTCGCATCAACTACTAACACAATCGTGACGACTATTGCTTGTAACGATATGGTAACTATGAGTATGACAGTATATGATGATAATAGAGGTGTGAAAGGACGAACACAATACAACCATGCCCGTGCCCGACCCTTCGGCCCGAGATCGCTACGGCAAATTGATTTTTGTAAAATATTTTTGTATCATTTATTAATATATCAAAATATATTACTTTTCAACTCATTATTTTCTAATAATTCTGCTAATACATACGCCTGATTCGTTCGTACCGTCAATTTCTTTCAAAGTTCAAAAGACCTGTTTACCACGTTGTACTAAAGAATGTCTTTCATTTTCGGTATCATTTGGTATTAACAAAGTCAAGTGATAATTTCGTGAATGAAACCTACCAAATTACTTTTCTAGGAAGAAATAGTAAATGCTATCGTAACAACTCCACATACCTGAAACAAGAAAAGAAAAAGGTATTTTCAGTTAGCATCTCACCAATATACAAGAGACCTTCAATTATATATATTACCGTGCAACTTACTTTGGCACAATATATTACTTTGTAAATAAATGATAAAATTGTTATTAATGAACTAAACCATTACATCATATAAATACGTTGTGTATTCAACCATTTTTACACACGTCTTCAGTCTTTCCTAATTGTGTGAATTATGCACAGAAACATTCATTATTGCTAACTCTCAAACCAAATAAGTACGTCTTTGAGTACTATGTTAAGCGGAATCGAACGACCCAAATTTATTTCATTGAATCCAATGCTGCCTAGATGAGGGTACGTTAGTATATTTTTCCATTAAATTATGGGTATGTTTAAATACTTCGCCAAAAGATTATACTCAAACAAACTTATACATATTTACATCATTCTCATCATTATATATTCATAACTTAGTGCACATCATAATCTAATTTACTATACAAATGTCATAATTAATACTACATTCATAATCATTAATTTATATAATTTTATACACTATCATATTCACACACTAATTAATAATGCGTAAGACCCGCTGGTATCTGGTAAAAAAAGGAATGACTATGCACAAAATAAAGCAAGTTTTTTTGTAGCAACGTATGGTATCGCAAAACATAAACAGCTTATTACGTGACGTTAACTATTAGAATAAAAACCTGCGTAATGTTGAGTAACTCGTTTGCCTGAAATAACACTTTCTTCGAATGGTGCAATAAGACATGTACACAGTCGATTTTTTCTGCAATACTGTTTCCCAACTAGCAGAGTGGAGGCTTGTCGTGGAGCATTTTAGTAAATGAGCACAAATCCAATTTCATAAACAACGATGTTTATGAAACTAAACAACGATGTTTATGTTTATGAACTAAAAAAAGTTTAATAAAAAAAGAAGCATTCAAAATCCAAGTGCCAAATGAGAGGGGAAAAACTCTATTTTGCACTTAGCTTGCTAAATATGTAAGGATGTATCAATTTCTTTAATACGTTGTCTCTATTAACGTACCTTCCCCCCCTCGCCCGAAGAAGCAAAGAACAACGTAAAGGCATTTGAATACTTCCTGCTTTCATTTTCTATGAATGAGTTCTCTTTCTTCCATACGACCAAGTTGGTCTGGTCTTTATATTTTTCCGCCTGGCCAACAATCCAATTGTGAATTTTTCTTTCTATTTTTTTGTTGTAGCTCTTGAACTATATAGGTATAACACCGGCTTCTTTCGGGTCTTCTTTAATTGCAGAAATCCACTTCATTGCCTCTATTTTAGCTCTAATGCTATTTTCGTGGAATTCTATAATTTGTCTTGAGAATCTGGTTGGTTCCATCCTTTTAATATGTTCATAAAATGTTAGCCAGCGATTTCTAATATAAAAGTATACGTCGGTACATTTTGGAATTTCATTTTTTGCTCAGTCTGTAATTTCCTTATTCAGTGTATTTCGGGACTAGAACTTTTCTAATGACTTTTCTTTCTTCATGATTTTTTCAATGCTCTTTATTCTGTTCAAATTTAGCGTTTCAGATGCATTAAGGCACTCCGATTCGGTTACCACGAAGAAGTATCTCAGTTTCGTGAACTTACATACACACATTTCTTTAACATATTAATCAAGCTACACGTTCACACAGTACTTTCCAATTTTCGAAGAAGATAGATATGAGAAAGAAGGGTCTTCGACTTGTTTGTAAAGTAGCCAAGTGAGAATCTTCTCAGATTTTTTTCGAGTTGCATAACAAAGATTGAATATCATTTCTGAGGAAAAACACGTCTCACTTACTCTCATTAATGTTAGTAATTACAAAATTGAGACCGAGATAAATATTCAACAATCTACTCCAATAATGAACATTGTGTTGTGCAACTAATTACCAACGCTGAGATTCTCCTCCGAGGGATGCCACTAACTGAGATTTGGAAAGTTTGAAGATAAAGTTGGGAAGAATTGAACATTGGAAGATTACACAAAAGGCTCGAAAGTGGCCACCACGGAAATCATCTTTGGTAGGGCTCTACAAATGTGTAATAAAGTAAATTTCATTGTTCTGGTGCCGAAATCTATAGCGTAGTGTATAACATCAGTTTGCCACCACCCCTCTAATAACACGTGAAGTGTAAAAAGAGTTTTAGCGCGTTTGGTTCTGAACGGAAGTAGTTCCGAGCTGTAGCAGCAGATTGTTCGCTAAATTTCCATAATGCAATAGATCCTCTTCCCTCAGATTTTTTCTACCAGAGTTCGCCCACCAACAGATATATGTATCAATATTACGAATTTCCGATGCATGCAAAAATCTCAAGAAAACTATGCATCCTACGACCATGTGAGTAGTGTCTCTGGTTTCGTCATATACCCAGGAAATCGGAAAAATCTGAAAAAGAAATGTTTTCTCTTTTTACTGAAAAATGCAAATATTTGAATGTCTTATTCCGTCTATCGCTCGCGTCTGTTCCGCATTTTGCGCAATCCGACTTAAAAAGATGCCAATGCCTCACTGATTAAGACACAGCTGACGTCATGAGACAGCAAGGCTCCAAAGAAAAGGCCGCCCGCCATTAAATACTTTCTAATAACGTGTTGCGTTATGAAAACCACTTTTTTATATATTTTTTGGAATGTAAATGACTTAGTCTGTGTATCGGTATATACTTTACAACGTCATTACAGAAGTTCGTTTGTGTTACGTTTAATAAATTCCAGTGTTATACGAGAGTATTTGATGGTATTGAGGGGATGTGCGAACTATGTCTTGTGGTTTTTGTTCAGCATTTTTTCCCCGCTGCAGACACTAGTCATCGATATTATATTTAATATTATATGTAGTGACGAAAGAAAAAGACCGGCTAGCAGAAGGGAATTCGTCGTGCTTTACACATGAATACCTTATATGCAGGCGTAAATAATTAATAAAAACTAAACCGAGGCCTGGAAAGACCGTTAGCTGGCAAAAATATGATAAATATGACCCCAAAATGCTAAATACATACGTACATATACAGGCTGTCAGGGGAGGAAACGTAGAAACTTCGAAAGTTAGCTCTCAAGACAATTTTAATTGTAATAAATACTAACAAACGACTTGGATATTCCGAATGGCTAGGCCGCTATTAGCACTCAAAAGTTAGTTTGAAAAAATGTTTTCTACGCAAAAATTTTCATTGCAGAAGCATAAATACACTCCAGAAACATGTAAATAGTTTATTATTTTAAAAAATGGAAATATTTTTTATAAAGCAAAATTAACTCAGAAATAAAAAACAGTTGAATTGTGTAAATTGGATGCTATTTTTTACTTTTGTGTTAATTTTCCTTTCTGAACTAATATATTAATTTATTTTGTAAATAATAAACAATTTTCATGTTTGTGGAGGGTCTCTATGCTTCTGCAATCACATATTTGCCTAGAAAGCATTTTTTCAAACCGACTTTTCAGTGCTTACTGCAGCTCAACCATTTGGAATATTCCAGTAGTTTATTAGACAAAATGTGCTTAAAATTGTCTTAAGGCTTGCAAAGTTTCGACGTTTCCTCCCAGGACTCTCTCTATATTATGCAGAGATAGATATAGATATGTAGATTAATGCCAACAACATGATGCTGCATTATGCGAATTCAGAAGAGCTAGTCCCTCGGGCACAACGCTGGACTACGCGCATTCGCTGAAGCTCGTTTCATTGCTCAGTTTTTCCGGGAGCGTCTACTACTAAAGTCATTATTCCTTTAAGTGTACTACATGCTATTTCTTATCGCTGGAGGTGGCGGTGTTCTTCACTCGCTGGATGGCGAGATCCGGCGCCGACCTACACTTCGGATGGTGAGGATTCTCCCCAACCAGGTATCTCTCACCAATGGACGACATCGCACCGCCCCAGCCGAGGCAAGCTCTCCTGACGTGTATGGTAGTGTCGTGCATAAAAACGAGTGTGAAAAGAAGGGGTGAGGATAAGACAAGGAAGAGGAAGGAAAGATGGCGTGCTGTCCGTGGCCCGTTTGCTAGGGAACTGCTCCGGCATTCGTCTGATGCTGATCGGAGAAACCACGCAGCTGAATCTAAGGCTCGAAAGTTAGCGTATACGCTAAGACTTTTCTAGCTGCGCAAACCCTCCCCTTTTTCATCATCTCATATTTAATATTGGATATACGATGTCTCGTAAACCTCAATTTTTGCACACTTTTGATGGGAAGTTCAGTAGTTTACTGACGTACGAATTTAAGAAACACAAAAGTAATCAGCAAACACAAAGCCAATCAAAGAATTGAATTAGTTTCATTTAGTTTTGGCAATGTGCCGAATCTGATCATAAACGATTCGTTTACGAGTAGAATCCGCTATTATGGTTCAGAAAATGTAGCTTCCTTCAACTGTCGTCCTCTTTCTGTTGATCCCATACAATGTCCTTTGCTTCATAATAATCACCTAAAGTGGATGAAATTTTCCGTAAACGTCTGCATATCTTTAATACGTATAGCTGAACGCAAATGGTTTTTTCAGACGTTACTATGAACAAAATGATAATATGAAAGTATTGATGTTTTAAAAGCTGTCGAAATATTAAAAATGCACGATAAAAATAATAGCAAGCAACCCATAATGCACGTCACAATGTATCACGTGTTACCACTATGCAAAACTTTATAACTAATCATCATAGACCCTTAAATTCCCATTTGGGGTTATTTTTGTTAGCTCGAGGTTGTTGCCTACGAAATGAAACCTAAATTGACCTAAAGATTTGGGTTTCCGTCTTCTACACACCTTCACTTTCTATCACATTTTATATTAATTTAGATATTTTGTAAGTTTCTGCGAAATTGATAACTTGATATTCAGTTACAGTAATCGTATGGGCCTAAGTTTTTCTGTTTGTTAATTAACTCTTAGCAATATTGAAATGATTACCCAAGAAGAGTACCGGGCCTATAACCCAAGTGTTCAAAACAGATCCGTACAAAGTTGTGTTCCAATATCAAGCTTTGTCACTTTCAAAGGACGGATTTAGAGAGTGAAGGGTATTCGTTCACACCAGTCCAACTAATACGCGCCATAATCCCTAATACTTGCACGCGTCCAACTAATACATGTCGTAATACCTGGCCTTCCTACAGACGGAATAATACAAAAAATATTGTTCCAAATGTTAATGGACGAGAAGAAATCGCGGAATATTATTAAAATATATAGGCTCCCCAGTGGGATTTTGAGGTGGATTTTGAAACAGTGATGACTTCTCTGAATTCAGATTAAAAATGTTGAATAAATACGAAATACTATTGTAATATTAAAATAATAATAATTTTAAAATTGCTTTTTACAAAAGTTTAATTAAACAATGTCCACTAAAATTGTATTATATTTCTTAATTTTATTAACACAGTTCTTAAGTAACGGGAATTGTTATTTTATGTAGCTAAAGTATTAGTACTACATTTTCACAAAACAAATGCTAATTGTAATGAGAACATGCCCCTCCAATGTCTCAACCTAAGCAAATACAGAGCAATTTCGCACATTGAACAGCATCACGGGAGAAAATTTAACACAAATACTATAGATGAAATCTCTATATCGCTACAGAAAAGTACAACAATTCCTAAAATTTCTTAAATTTTCTTTAATTTTTTTTTAAAAACTGCTTTAGCAATGATGTGAAATACATTTTACTCTTTTGGTTATTTGAACAAACGTCTTTATACAATTTACACAAGGCAAAATCAATCAAATTGGCTCTTACGGATGACCAATCAATTAAAGTGTTTGGGTAATTTAAAAACAAAAAAATGTAGTTAGCTATTCCACGACTGACGCAGTACAATGCAAACGCGCTGAAAACAAATTAAGTCCTGTCATTCAAAGGTCCCCTTCCGACTAATTTCCTGCCGGCTCTTATGGACGCCGTTAGAATGAACTGTCGAGGAGATTTGAAAACGATGTGGAATTTCTGAGCCTGAAGATAACGGGGGCCGAGGGAGGAAGTAGCCCTGAGAGAGACCCAATCATTTGTGTCCGGCGCGACGCTTGGCAACGGTCTACCGAGGACATATCAGTCGCGTTTCCGGAAACACATTTTGTGCTGCAGTCGATTCTCTTTCCTCCATACTGACAGCAGGATCTGTCTGAGAGCTGTTGGTCCATGGCCTTCAAAATAGTAGTGTATGAAATTGGTTTATAATATTATTTGCTTTATTGCATGAGTAGATGTTTTGAAACGAGCGACGTTAGGAAAGAGCTTTCAAATATGTACAAATGCAATAAAGCAACCTTATAAACGCGTTCGCTTTTTTTTATCTAACAGCATTATAAATTTATACGGGAATCAAACATAATTTCGCGAAACAACTTTCTTGTGATTTCTCAGGTATTTGACATCTGCGTCAGAAAACGGTGGTCGGCTGTTCCGTTTTCCTCCTCCCCCCACGATTCTCCCGCTGCGATTGGCTGAATGTGTGATGACGCAATCATTCGTGCCGTAAAATTTAAAGGAAATTTGTGAGTAAAATGTCCTTTTACGAACTATTTATTGCAACAGAAAATGTCGTTTATAATGTCGGTATACAAAAACCTTTAGTATTAGCAAAAACCGAAAGTAAAAGCCATTCTCTAGGGGCATACGTAGCGTGCTAAAAGTTCGAATTTTAGCACTAGAGCTAGAAGTGTGACGATGCTCAAGTGTTCAGATAAATATATGAATCCAACAAAGAAAAACTACTTTCGTGTGACCGCATCCGCTACTGCTGACTGTAATGTATCATTAAGTGGTTTGTATAAAATGAAATGTAATAAAAATATGTTAAAAGTCAGTTAAGTAGTAAGGCTGTCTAAAAATAGTGTGAGATTCACGTAGGAAAAGTTATTTTACTTTTACCACTCGCATCATAAATAACTATTCTGTACACACTCTTTAAATTACAATTGGTTTTTGCTCCTTCCAAGTTTGTTCCTCCATACTCGAAAAACTAAAAAATCCACATTTAAGTACATTTCCCTTCTGAAAATAATTATAAATTTCAGAAATT